GGATTAGGAAAAGTGAAAAGAAACTTGATATGCAAAGGCATGTAGAAGGCATTTAGCAAGCTGCACGTGGACAGTAAAGATCGAGGGATGAAGCAGTGGGAAATAGAGCAGGTATGTGGTTCTGGCTTAGGAAGCAGACAGCATTTGGGAGGAGAAAGGGCAGGCGAAATAGACACCTGAACAATAAATTCTTTTTACCATGTGTACAGTATCTTACGTGATCCAAGACTTTGGAAATAATGCAGATAAAATTATGAAAGATTTACACTTTAGAGTGTTGGGAATAGGAAGTAGTGGTTGCCTTGTTTACAGATCCCTGTTGTTTAATAGGTTTATTCAACTGCCAGACACTGTGCTAGGTGCTATTAACCAAAAAACATGCTTGGCCCCTTGTAAGGTCTTGATGTAGTTCAGATATAATAGTAATAATACAGTGTGCTAAATTCAGTGACAGTGGTAAAGCTGTTCGTGTAAGGAAAGCATCCTGGCGGGCAGTTAGTTGTCCTGCAGAACGGAAGTACAAGAAGATAAGACTTCAAGGCTAGATGTAGGATATAGGTGGACCAAGGGTGAGAGCCTCTTTCCCCACCCCTTCCAGAATTAAAGAGCTCCAAAGGGAATGGTTTTAAGGTAAACAGGTGATTAAGTTCTCAAGCACAGCATGAAGTTCTCAAGTACAGTGATGTCCTGAGGTCGTGGAGGGGCTGAGAAGTGGAGGTTTGGAACCTTGGAGGGCTTTTGTATGCCATAAAAAGGAGCTTTGATTTTAGTCTAGATACAGGAAAGGTTTTAAGCAAGTGACTTGCATGCCCTCCTTTTACATTTTAAACTTATCTTTGACTATTATAGGATGGAGATTCACATAGTTACAACATGTTGAGGCAAAAATAAGGGCAATCGTTAGAGTTGAAAAGAAGGACCGGTTTAAGAAACATTTAGGGCATATGAAATTGGATGTAAAACCTAAGGGAAAGAATACATTAACGTTGGCTGACATGGTTAGAGTGCGCTATTGCTACTCATCTACCATGTGGCAGTTGCTACTATGCATCTGCTAATGGCCACGACTTCAGAAACGTAATGTGTGGAGGTTCATAGAGGGAGCTTCCATTTGGCACTTCTGTGTGTGTCCTGGTTTTGGATATGCTGAGCTAGTCTTAAGTTGATAACGGAGCGCTGAAGTCTGGAGAAAGGGGGCTGTGTCGGTGAGACTAGGAGTGTGTGGAATGGCCCAGGCAGAGGTGAAGAGAGAAACACTTGATTGAGGGGACTGGAAGGAGCTTAACAAATTGGAAGCAGAGGAGACATTAGAAGATACTTAATCTCAATATTAGAAGATACTTAATATCAATATCAAGAAGTCTAGTGGAAGATTAAGAGAGAGACAGTGAAAGGATAGTCATTTGACAGGTTTGACCAGTTATAGTAGCTCTGTGGTACAATTGGAGACGAGATGCTTTGCTGCTTAAAATTCTGAGGCCTGAAATAAATTGCCTCTGAGCTTATTTTCTTGCCTATAAAATAGTGATACCTGTGTTGTGAAGGTTGGCAATAGTCTGTCGGAATATCTGAACAGTTCTTGGAATAGTGTGGGTCTCAGTAAGCTTACTTAATATAGCTTACCTGCTGGGCCTAAGAAGGGAACTTAGGAGTTGTAATCTGAGTGCATTAAAACAGTAGCAGTCCCCAACCTTTTGGGCACCAGAGATGGGTTTTGTGGCAAAGTTTTTCCACTGGCCAGGGTGGTATCAGGATTAGGAATCTCACAGAAGCCCACATGACCTAGATCCCCGACAAGCACAGTTCACTGGAGCCTTCATGCCACTGCTGATGTGATAGGAGGTGCAGTTCAGGCAGTGATGCCAGCCATAGGAAGTGGTTGTAGATACAGGTGAAGCTTCCCTGCTCATGTCATGCTGTCCAGCCATGTTCCTAACAGCAAAAGGACCCTTAACAGTCTCTGAACCAAGGGTTGGGGACCCCTTCAATAAAAGACAGGCCTTTAAGTTTTTTCTCATTTTTGAGTAGCTAACTTACACAGTTCTAAGTTAAGTTCAGGGAGATACCTGACTTATCCCTGCAATGTATGGAGTCAGTCTCTGTTAAGCCTCTTCCATACCAATATTTCCAGTTTGTTTTGTGTGTTTTTGAGGTGGTGAACACACGTGTTAAGTGTTGGAGATAAAAATAACTTGCAGCAAATCAAGAAAACTTTACTGGCCTAGGGACTTACTCTAGCCTGTGATATCTAGGTTTGGTTGTCCTTTCTGTTTAACTGCATGACATCAAGAATACCTAAATGGAACTGGGATCTGTACAATTGATTCTTAGAAGACACTTAAAAGAGCCCTGTATTAGCTAAACTACTTTGCTGTCACTGGGACAAGGCACTCCGCATCCACAACTTAAAGAGGAGAGGTTTATTTTGGCTCCCAGTTTCAGTGAGTTATTTTCTCTCAATGATGAACCCAGTGGGTTCAGCCCATGGTCACAGGCTCCATAGAAGAAACAGCACGGTTGAAAGCATGACAGAAAATTTATTCTTGGGCCTGGTTGTCAGGAAGCGAAGAGCAGGGAGGAGCCAGAGAAAATATACCCTTCCAAGTGATACCTCATTTGACCTGCCCTTTCTAACCAGATTACCAGACTTGCCTCTGTCTTTTGTTTTGTTTTTGAGACAGGGTCTCACTATGTAGTTGAGACTGACCTGGAACTGAATGTAGCCCATGATTACCAGACTTGCCTCTGTCTTTTGTTTTGTTTTTGAGACAGGGTCTCACTATGTAGTTGAGACTGACCTGGAACTGACTATGTAGCCCAGGCTGGTCTCGAACTCACAGCGATCCTCCTGCCTCCGCCTCCCGAGTGCTGGGATTACAGGCGTGTGCCACCATGCCCAGCTCAGACTCACCTCTGAATGTGAGATTTTTGGGGACAGTGTAGACCTACACCATGAAAGCTCACCATGAAGGCTGTAATGGCTTATTCTAGGTGTCCCCCTGAAGCCTCGTGGTCATGTGGGTCTTTTCAGAGGTAGCTGAATCTAGATTGTGATGCTGGAATTAAGGATGTGTGATTACAAAATCAGTCCACTGATTGGTTTGCCGCTGACCTCAACCCCCCTCAAACCGGTAGCCTAGAGAGAGAGAATAAAAGGGGCAGAAAGGAGGTGCTAATGTCTCTTGCTTGCTTTGCTACCTCCCGCCCACTATGAACTGTTTCTCCTTGTGATGCCCCTCTGCCATGCCACCCTGCCTGTGAGCCAGCCGATTAAGAACTGAAACCTCTGCAACAGATAAATAAACCTTTCCCCCTTTAACTTCAGGTGTCAGGTATTTGGGCTCAGCAATGAGAGAAAAGTAAGACAAGGGCCAAGAGGAAATTTTGAGTAGATTTGCTTTGGGGAGCTGTATATTGGAATGAATGTTTTGAAACAACAGCAGAGCACAGTGATCTGGTGGCTGTTAAGAACTTTCTATGTTTGTTTGTCTTTTTTTAAACTAGTCATTTTGGTAGTTGCTTTGAATATATCCTTATCTGGAGTCTGCCTGCCAGAGTTCATAGGCACAGTTCAGAAACATCCACCGAGCTTCAGCTTCCTCATTAAAAATAAGGGACTGGTCCCTGCCTGGTAGGAGTTGTTTGAGATTTGAATGGTGACATGCTATGTGAAACTCTTGGCACAGTGTTTAATACTCACTGAGTACTGAGTAAATACTGTTGACTAACAATGACATACTGAGTCCTAGAAGGAAGCCCCTGAGATTTGAGTTGACTTTTTTTTTTTTGTATTGGGGATCAAACTCAGAACCTTGTGCTGGAGAAGCAGCCGGCGGAACCATGGACCCACTGAGCTAAATCCCTGTCCCTGAGTTCACATTTTAAACGCATTTTAACAATAGTGTTAGTTCTGTACCTAGTCCTGCGCTTAACAGTGCCAAAGCACAGCGCTCTTCACTGTTTTGTTTTAATAGCTGCCATTTGAAAGTTGGTAACGACTAGTGTATTGAAGATATCTTTTAAAAGTGGGAAAAAGACTTGATGTTAGTTCTGGGTCCATTAAAACATTGAAAGACGGATTTCATGCTTTCTTCAGCCATATTCTGGACAAGGGAATGGATTCACCTAAGCGTGAGGAAAGATTAAAGAGTGCTGTGGGGGCCGCAAATGCAGTTACACCCCACGCCCAAGGTTGACAACAGCAGGCCTGTCCTTGCAGTGTGTGGTGCGGCCCCGCTGTGATGTCTTCACTGAGGACACTTCCCCGTGTGCTCCAGTTCTCCTGGAGCAAAGGAGAACAGCAGCTGCCCTGCCATGCAGTCCTCCCCTTTGGACTGAATTCACAGTGGAGCCTCCCTGCCTCTGCTGCCTGTCACCTGGCTCCTCTGGCTTGGTGTGGTCAGGTAAGGGTTTGCACGGAGCTGACACTGCTCTGACAGGCTTTAGCCCTGAGTAAAAGGCTGAATTAATTGACTCCTTTCCTCCTCGCTGGCCAGATCTTTGGAAATGGGACTGGCAGCCCTGGGCTGTTGCTTGGGGATGGCTTGACAGGAGCCTGGTGAGGTGTACAGCCTCCTCCACTTGTACCTCATTGCTAAGCTGGGGACTCTGATTATGAGCTCACACATGCCTTTTCTTGTTTTATTTTCCACTGAGTATGTAAAGTTTTAGTTAAAACTTTCGTATTATGGTTTTGAACAGTCAGTACTGTGTTGCCTTGTAATATTTTTGAGATTTTAAATATTTTCCTTTTAGGTTTCTCTGTTACCAAAGAATCAACTAGAAAAAGTATGCGGGTGGGTGGATATATTCATATATTTAAACTAACATGAAAAGTTTACATATGCAAAAGTAGGATATTATCCTTATATCCCAAAATCCAGATTCAACCTTACTTGTTTATCTGTTGTTTCTTTCCCTTTGGATAAAACAGACACCTTTATATTGAAATTGGCATTCACTCTCCATTGAATTGAAATCGCTAATTTCTTTAATTGCTCTTGTTTTATTTTTAGCATTGGAGAGGGTATATGTACTTCTATCAAGCTCTGCTCTAGGTAAAGGTTTGCCCTAAACCTAAATTTATCTGAAAGAAACATAGAAGATAGTAAGTCTGAGGCTTTCATATATCTTTTAAAATTTTAGTTATACGGAGGAAATATTTAAAAAAGAAGCCAGAGTCCTCAGAATGGGCACTGCAGCTGACTAGGACCTGAAGGGAAAATAAACTTTCTCTAGTATCTACTGTCTCCTTTGTAGGAAAGATGGAGAGCATGAGTGTGGAGTCTGAAATGGACCCGGTGTTGAAGACGCTTTGGTGTCAGTGTGGCTGGGAATAAGTAACAGGATTTGAGAATGAAAGCTCTTGGGTGCACATTGAGCTACTCCAAGACCAGAGTTGAGTTAGATTGAGATGTTTACAGGCCACTGAGAGTAGAAAGCCTAGTAAACTTATCAGTCGTATGACTCTTGTACCTATGTGTCATAGGAGCCACCGAAATACACAAAAGTTACAAATTTCATTTAGTTCAGTGGTTGAAAGTTGAAGTATTTATAAATTGCCTTTTGAATTTAAATAGACTGCCAGAGCCTCGATTTATTGATTGACAAATTATCTCAGTGTGCTGTTGAACAGAAATACAATGTGAACAAAATACACAATTTGAAATTTTCTAGTAGCCACATCGGAAGCCAGTAGAATTAATTTTAACATATTCCCAATCTGTGCAAAATAATCAATTGAAAATGTTTGAGCTGCTAGGTTTTTCTTTGTAGCAGTCCTCAGCAGGGGACTGGTGGCTGTCCCTGGTATAAAGCGCGCGAGACTTCCGGACAGTGTTTGATAAGTGCCAGTGCTTTGAGCACGGAATTTTGAGGAAGTTGGTTCACAGTACTGCATCATGCATGCTTCCCTAAGCTTTGATATTTTCATCTTTCTACCTTTCCTACCTCTAGAGATGCTTTTAATTGGAGTCATTTAGCAAAGGAGGAAGAGTAGAAGATAAAAAGTTCAAAATAAACGGCTGTCTGTATGTTCAGTAAGCGCCACACAGACTGAATCATAGTGTCTGGGCTCTGTGAGCCTGTGGGTTCGGTCTTGGCTTCCGGGTAAGGGGAAGTGACCCCAGCCAGGTTGACAGCTGCGTGCGGCTTCTCCTGAGGCTGGAGATCAGCCCTTAGACCAAGTTACGGGCATGTAGGAAATCCATACATTCTAACGAGTGTCTCGTGCTGAGGTCAGTAACAGAAGTAACCTTGGTTCGTAAGTACACCTCCTGAAAGGGAATTCATTAGGCTCTTTGTGTATACCGGTGTTTCTGTAATTAGAGCGTGGTAAAAGAAAAAGGATTTTACCTTAAAAAAAATGAGATTCGGTGACTTGATAGTCTTAAAATGAGCGATTTAATTCTTAGGTTTTTAAAATATCTAAGTCATTTTTTGTGCTTTGCTAGTCGGCAACAGGAAATAGAAGAAAAACTCATCGAGGAAGAAACAGCACGAAGAGTGGAAGAATTGGTGGCAAAAAGGGTAGAGGAAGAATTGGAGAAAAGGAAGGATGAAATTGAGCGCGAAGTTCTCCGAAGGGTGGAGGAAGCCAAACGCATCATGGAAAAGCAGTTGCTCGAAGAACTCGAGCGACAGAGACAAGCTGAGCTTGCAGCACAAAAAGCTAGAGAGGTAACGCTCGGTCGTTTGGAAAGTAGAGACAGTCCATGGCAAAACTTTCAGTGTTGGGTTGTGCCTCCTGCTCAGTTCAGAAAGAGATGGAATACAGACTATCTAATTCCTTTCTCACCTAAACTTACATTGCTGCGAAAGTTAATTTTTTAGCCTATTCAGAAGTGCTGACTGATACTTAAAAGTGATTTTCATAAAACTTATTCAAGGATACTTTTTTGATTTAATGGAACTGGCTTACATATTTGAGAAGTGTTTGAAACTTTTGCCATGGCTGCAGGACTTAAAATTCTTTTTGGGAGGGTGCGGGGAGACAGGGAGTGGTGAAGGGAAACAGTTACAAATCCTCCTGTGGTTGTATATTCTTTTCTGTTTATCACTCTGTTGCCTAGACTGTGAAAGGCTTTTTGCCTTCAGTCAGAGCGAAGAGAGCAGGGCCTACTACTGAGTGACAGTACCTGCTCTTGGTAAATAGGTTTCTCACTCTTCTTTTTTCCTTCTTTATTCCTCCCCCTCCCCAAATCCTGCTTCAACACAGTGGACTAATTCTAGCGTTCTGATCACAAGGCCCTCCATCTTCCTAATGTGTTTCAAGGAATCTTTTTAGGAAACATGTCCAGAGCATCCGTCCACTTTTTTAGTACCTACTAACAACTCCTTTTTTTCTCTAGAGAGTTATGAAGGAACAGGTTGTCCTTGTCTGGAGTCAAGCTAAACACATGATTTGTTTTGTCAGCAGCGGGAGCAGAAGTTGAAAATGTCTTTCTGTGAGACAGTAATTTGCTACTGAAGCTTTATGGCTTGCACTGATTACTCCAGGGTCCTAGAGCTTGGCCAAAGCCACGAGACACTCAAGGCAAATCGCTTACAGCACTGAGTGTCCAGCAACGTAGTTTGCGTGACGAATGTGAATCCCACTGGTGTGACATAGGAAATCCTGCAGTTAAATTCTCTTAAACTGAAATATTTGATTTAAAATTGATAACTTGTTGTCATTTTCTGTGTCGGCATTATTGGGGACAAGTTGACATCGTATTAATCTCTTTGCTTTCCAGTAAGCGTAGCTTTTGAACTGCGTTTTCCCTTGTCCTGTCTGTAGATGCACATGTCTCCGTGAATAGTGGATTTCAGACTACAATATTGAATGTATGAAATCTTTATTTACATCAGTGCTTTTAATACTACGTTTTGGAGTAATTGTGCTATCTTGTAGCGAGTTATTAATCATAGTAAGATTTTTTTCTCTTCATTTGGTTTTTGTTTCATATTAACAAGTTTTTTTTTTTTTTTTTAACACGGACACAACCCTCTCGATAGACTTTCCAAATATTAAAATCATTCGAATATGTATGCTGTTATCTGAACACTGCCCAAACCATCAAGCAGTCTTCATATAGTTTGCATTATGCAATTTCATTAAATTCTTCAAGAAAAACTAAATTACAGAAGAATTTTATTTCGTGACCATGCGTCCCCTGGATTCCTGAATTCCAGTTCAGACTGTAGATGACAGTCTAAGCTGCCTTTAGCAGTTGTCACCATCCAAGTGTTGAGCCCATTTTCCCCATGGAAGGAGCCCGTAGTTCCATGAAGGATGGGTTACCATTTGTATTTTTCACTAACAGTAAATGTATTTTTCTTATTAATTGTTTGCCTTAGGAATGATGAATTACATTTTTTGTTCCTTCTTACCATAAACATCTGCATTCCTCAGCTCAGCCTCCCTTGTATGTTGTTCCTTTATAAATGGTTGAGCTGCCGATGCAGGTATTGCCAAGCTAACAGTACAAATCATTTTAAAGAGGAAGCTGGCGCGTATGGCAGCCGAGGAGCACACTCTGCAGGACACGGGACAAGACAGTAAATATTCAACTTTTAATGCTGATTAAAGGAGTATAGGTAAAGAATACGTAGGTATACATAATTGGTGAGACAAATATTCACTTTATTTATATTTTATATATTATTTTTTTAATTTGGTAAATACTATCCAGTTTTGTAGTTGTCCTTGTTGATTTGTGTGATATTAAAGTATTAGTAATAATTACCAGGAAACTATCATTAGGGAGGGTTTAGTCGGTTGCTGTTTGGACTGGGAGGGATAATTTAAATTTAGTGCTAGAAACCAATTTTAGTGGCTGCACAGTATATCATTTGTCAAACAGAAGGTAGCTGTACAGCTACCCTTTAAGTCAGATCAAAAAAGTTCAGAGGAAGTTTAGTAGATATTTATGAATAACAATAAACAATGTATCTTTCTAACATCTTAACATGTCCTCCCCTTTAGGAGGAAGAACGCGCAAAACGTGAGGAGCTAGAGCGAATACTAGAAGAAAATAACCGAAAAATTGCAGAAGCACAAGCCAAACTGGTGAGTAGAAAGCATGTGTGAGATGGAGTTGCATTTGCTTTATTTTTCTTTCTTCCAGATTTTATGAAGCGGCTTTGTGTTTATAATTTGTCTTTTTTTTTTTTTTTTGGACTTTTTAGATGAAATAGTTGAGTAGATTTTTAACTCTGATCTGGAAAGAAGGCCAAAATTTGCAGTAGGTTTTCTGAGAAAGTCATATCATCAGTTTTTAAAAACCCTGACCTCATTTGAATATTTTTTTTGTCTAAAAAACCTAACAAATTGATTGATTTGCAGCGTTTTACTTGGAGTTAGTTGCCTTAATCACTTAAGCAAGTGAACCACAGTGATAAATTGTCCCCTGTTCCTGGTTCATGATCTCCTCAGAAATGGAGACACACACTTGTTTGATAGAGATATAAAAGGAAGCGTAGAGCAATTTGAAAATTGTAATAAAGAAGCTGAAATAAGAATTTATTTAAACATAGGAAAAAACCCACCTACCTCTTTTCCTTCCAACTCTCTTTTTAGTATTTCTGGCTTTTTGGAGTATGTATTAGCATTTTTAAAATGTATTTTGATGTCATAAGCTGTTTGTGAGTTGGAGTGTTTTTTGAAGCAGTCTTAGTCTGAGGAAGAAGAAAGCTTCACAGTGTGAATCAGAAAGGCACAGCTTTCCATGTACTGTTACGGAGCTGCTGCTGACCTTATTCTGGGGGAATTTTCTCCTCCTGGGTGGAAATGGCCCACTGGCTTCCCATATGTAAATCTACCCCCTCCATGTGGGGAGGCAGCCCAGGGCCTCATGTGCACTCACCATGGAGCTACACCCCAGCCCGTGTGTGTTTTTACTGCCAGTTTGTGGGAGACCTCTACTTTGTGACATAGAATTAGACAAATGGCTAGAGAAATGAAGTCAGATTTCTCTAGAAGCCTCTGGACAGTTATCTTCCAGCCCGGGGCTGCATGCGCAGTGAGTTCGGCTGTCACTGGCTTGGGTCTGAACTGGTGGACTGAGACACTGAGGGTGCTGCCTGGAAGATGCCTTTGGGGAAGAGAGGCTTGAGGCTCAGGAAATTTGCTAGGAAGCAGACCTCCTTAGCGCGTTAGCTGCCAGAAGGAGAGCGGGCTGTGGGGCAGCTTGGCGTGGGGAGATGGGCCTGGCTCCCTTGGCCCCGTGAGTGGACATGCTTGTCCTCCGCCTGGGAAGGGCACAAGGGATGGCGGGTGCGCAGGGAGCTTGCTCTGTCTCTCATCCTTTTTCTACTTCTTCTCAGTTCGAACACTACTCTTTAATTTTTGTATGTTGATTGGTCAATAAGTAAGATAGATCAGAATCCGCCTTGAGATTCTAGGCGTGCATGAGAGCAAGGGAGAGGGAGAGGCAGCATCACGTCAGCATCTGGGCTGATCCCACAGGAGCATGCTTCAGGACATAAGGAGTGTGCCATTCTTACGGGTTACACAGCAGGGGATGTGAAGTACAGGAGAGCAAGGGCAGCCAGATTGAGCGAGCAATTGGGTGCAGAAGGAGAGGAAGGTGGAAAGTTCCTGGCCATTGAATGTATTTGTTGTGGAGACAGGGCCAGCTCAGCGGTTTACTAACAGTGGGGCCACCTGGTAGGTGGTGCTGGGCAGGCGCGGTCACAAGGCTGCAGTAATGGAAATCCCAGATTAAGGCAGGAGGCAGCCCAGGCTGAGGAGCGGAGCTGGAAAACCCCTTCCGGAAGTAGAATAAAAATGACAGCAAGCGTGTGGAATGGAATCTTCTGATTTGTGGGAAGATAGTAGTAAACCGTCCTGCTTCTGTACACTAGGGAGTTTGTGTTACCCAGCGTAAAATAAGATTTTGGAAGCAGATTAAAGGTGGGTTGGAAAAGAAGAGCCCTGGGTGTGGTTGGTTGCGCATCACATCCTGAGAAAATAGCAGCAGTGACAGATACCCTGCAGGCCTGCAGAGGCCCATTAAAATGGACAGCAATACAAGAGAGATTTTCACGTGAGCACTGTGAAAGGTCACTACTGCAATTCCTGAAAATGCACCCTAGGAGCCTAACAGGGAGGCTAAGGACGAATCTCAGGTGGGAATGGGAAGAGCCACTGGTCTCTGGAGCTGTCTGATGGGTTGGGTTGTGAGGATGCGCCCTGGGGAGCAGGCCCTTTGTGGAGATCTGGAAATGGAAGTGGGCATAGTAACTCCAGCTGGGATGAAAATTAGGATAGTCTGAGTTTCTCTGTAGTCAGAAAGTACTTATTAATACGGGTAAAATAAACTAGAAAATACCCGTATGCTAAACTTTATGATCCTCAATTATTTTTTTAAAAAAGTTTGCATGGGGCTGGGGATTTAGTTCAGTGTTCTGCTACCTGCCTCGAAAGCACAAGGACCGGAGTTTAATCCTCAGTACCAAAAAAAAAGTTTGCATATTTAAGACAGATGTACAGTACTAGAATGCTAAGGGTTGGCTATCACTGGTAGCCATATAATTTTGTTTTCTACTCGTTCTACAAGTAACATAACATTTTTATGATCACATGAAATACTTAGTAAGGAGGGTGCTTTTGAGCTACAATGTTGACTTACTTTTAAGTAGGTTTTTCTGCCAAAAGTTTAAAGAATAATGACTGTAGCGAGACACCAGGGTTCACTCACATATTTGAAAATCATCCTTAAGGGCTCTAATCCACGGGTGTGTTGTTCATTTCAATTCCAAGTTGTGTATCGGTTTCTCTCCTATAAGTAGGCAGAGTTCAGCTGACACAGGTACTTGATTTGTGAAACCCAGAGTTAATCCCAGTTTGATTTGGCTCTGTGACAGGTTAACTCCTAGTTCTTGAGTTACTGCTGGCAACATATAACCCATTTTCAGATATTTGAAGAATTACTGTTAATACAATGGAAAATTTTTAATTTCCTTTTTTTAAAGGTGATACTTTAAAATTTAGTTTTTCTCTTCACAGCCATATATGCCTGGGAATATCCCAGACATTATTCTGAAATGTGTACGGATCTTGTTTACTTGGAAAGGGAAACAGACTTTTGTGAAGGTGATAGGGGTTATTGTGGAATAAAATGTTCTTTGGGAGGTTATCACGAGAAGAACGACCCTCACCCAGTCCCCCTGTGAACATGGTGGGAAACACAAGAGCAGTTAACCTGGGTATGAATGCCTCAGTCTATGTGCTGGGATTACAGGTGTGCGCCACCACGCCCATCTGACAGTTCTCAATATAGAGATAAATAAGACGCTTACTTAGACTAGGGCTACATTCTTTGAAGGTTTAAAATATATGCAAATTATAATTTCTAAATTTACAGTTATCTTCAGTATTGACACAGTTTTTGCCTCCTTGTCGCATTCCTTGTGCTGTGTGCCACTTTACCCTCACCTCTTCCAGGAAATACGCAGTGTCGCACTTGGCAGTCTGTGATGTAGTAGTTAGATTTAAGTAACCTCGGGCCTGCAGATGCATCTGCTCTCCCCTCTTCCAAGTGCTCTTTCCCATGTGAGCCCTCTGACCTGTGCCGGTGCGGCAGGAAAGCTCTCACCAGACGCTGAAACTGCAGGATGGAAATTCCATTTCTTGATCATTTACCCAGCTGGTGGTTTTGTTCCAACAGCAGAAATCATCCTAAGAACCACAAGTTTCTAAGGCCGTTATAGAAATGCACCAGGGAGGACTAAAGGGGCAGCAAGGTCATGATGAAGGGGGTTCAAACTCCCCAAGGTGCCCACTCCCTGGAGCCGGTGAATAGAGATCAGACAGCAGTGGCCTTGGATGTCGAAGTGTATGTTTTCACAAGTCGGGAGAGGCAGGAAGGGATGCAGGTTTCTCCCTAAAGTCTTCCTTGGGGCTGTGTCCTGCCCACACCTGGATTTCTCTGTGACGCTGTCACTACCTCTGTCATAAGTTCAGTTTTGAGCCTGCTGGTTTGTGATAATTTTTTACAAGCGGGCATAAGAAACACACAGTTGGAAAGAGAATAGGGTGGTTAGTTTGCTGGAGAGTGACTGCATGCAAGTTGGAGTGGCACAGTGCTTAGGGTACCAGTAGTGTCGTTACATGTAAGCACTAAGTGGAAATGTCACGTATTTTCTTTTTTATATCTGTGTTTCCCTTTTAATTATTTATTTGCAGACTGGGGACCAAACTCAGGACCTTGCGATGGCGAGGTAGGCACTTTGCCACTGAGCTAAATCCCCCTACCTACCACATATTTTCACTTGAAACAAATTGGTAGGGAGGTGTGAGGGAAAGCTACTCAGCCTTGACCCTGTGCTAATGTGTTTAGTACAGTAGTTTTGAAAAAGAACTTTCTAGACCCTAGTCAGTGAGTGCATTGACACTGTGTAGGGCAGCTTCAAGGGCAGAAGCCAGAAACGACGGAGGGCGTGTGTCCATAAAGCAGCAGTTTCAGGACTGCGGAGAGAAGTGGCATTAAGTTGTGGAGTAGTGGGTTTTCAGGGGGACAGGAAGGGTGAGGTTTTAGGAACCAGAGAAAACCCTCTTGGTACAGTTGCAGAGATCTGGGGGTGTAAAGAAAAGGTAGGCGTGCCAAAGGCAGTGTGGCCCCAAGAAAAGTGAACACCAGCTGTTAGACGAGCCTCTCCTGGATGGTACAAGTTTTTTGCTGCAGTTTTAGAACGTAGTCTAAATGATCCCGAAAGCTGTGTTCCCCTGGCAGTGTTGCAGAGCAGGGTCTCTGAGCTCTAGGCAGTGATTTTTGCCTCTGATACTGATTAGGTCAATAACAGAATCACTGTTGGTTGGGGGACACAGGCTGGTTTTGAACTCACTGTCACCCGGGCTGGCCTGGAGCTTGCAGGATGACAGGAGTGTGCGAAAGCACCCGGTGACCATCCCTGTTAATCACTGAGGTGGTACTCCAGTGTCAGCACGTTTGGTTGGTTATCAGTCAGTCAGTCAGTTGCCTGTGTCTTGAAGTCATTGTCTTCATTGTCTTCATAGAGCAGTGGAATTTTATCTGAGGTTGAAATTTCAAAAATGAGGTTTTAATGGCAGCAAGAGGGTGGTTAGGATGAGAGGAAAGACAGGAGTGAGCGTGGACAGCGGGCGGTGTGCTCTCCAGAGTGGGTTTAGGCCTTTGTGTCGCCTGTGTGGGGAAATGCAGGTGGACTGGTGGCTTCCAGGCCTGTGTCACAGCCTCTGCATGAGTCAGAACCGGTGACACCTTTTTATTGAATTCCCTATTCATCTGGTTAGCTGAAGTGAGCAGAATGAAGCTGGAAGCTGGATCATCAGGAATTAAATTAAACCTGCCTGTGTCTGTAGACCTGACTGGAAAGGACATTAGATGTTTTTTTTCTTTACTGTAGTCTAAAGGTAATTTCAGTGCAGTAGAATTAGTATTTTGTATTTCTGAAAAAAGTTGCCTTACTTTAAAAATGTTGACTCGTTGATTAGCTAATGTCTTCTTATGTTGGTAATTTTTTAAGAAAACTAAAAGTCCAGTTCCTCCCCCACCATCTACCCACTTCGCGTTGCTATTTTCAAAAGTAATTATTGTGGGTTTTTTTTAATTCTTGAAATGCATGTTCAGTTATTACAATACGTAATATCTTCGTTCTGTATTACACAAAAAGTGCACAGTTCATGGTGCTTGGCACTTCGCTTTGCACGTAACATTTTACCTTGCAGACCCATCTGTTGTGGAGTGGGGCCTCTCCCTCCACTACTGCCCATTTTCAAACAGCTGTGTGGTAGTCTGATTTATAGACCTTACAAACATTTTCCTCCAGTCTTCCTTTTAGAGCTACATTGTGATAAATAACCTTGTAAAAATAATCAAGTTTTGCATGTGTGCAAGCTTACCAAATAATTTTCAGAAAATTAAATTGTTTGGTCGTATTTTCAGAAACAGTTTCTATAGAACCAAAGTGTTCTGTGTTCAGAGAATATGTGCTGTCACACCGGCACGTTTCTGTCAGTGTGGTTGGGTAAAATATGTGCTCCCTCTAATGAGCTCCTGCATGGATTGAGGCCATGATGCTCCTTGCCCTTTCAGCACCATTCCCCCAAGTTCTCCCACCTTTCCTGGGGATAAATTCCAACTCGGGGAGAAGTGGGCCTGAGTTTTGGTGTTGGCAGAGACTCCCAAGTGTGTGCATAGGCACCTAGAATCGAGTTGCGTGCACTTGAGCACACTCTTACATGTGTAGGGCTTATTTTAAACTGGATAAAGTGGTCGGCACATGAGCTCACGGAAGAAAATCTGAATTCTTCTTGTTGTAGTTATTAGTGAAAAGACAAATCTCCAGGAGGTGGCAATTGTAAATAGCTTCTAATGTACAGGTAGAAGCCAGGAGATCTGTGGTAAGTTGGGAAAGTGGGCTGTCTGGTGGAGAGTGGAAAACAGGAGATTGGAAGGCAGGGCAGGAGGGCACAGTGGTTGGGAAAGGTGAGTCTAGTTATGTTTCTAGGAGGGGTTGATAGACAGTGGGAATGGGAACACGCTGTGTGCATGTAGATTTGTGTTCCTGCGCAGTATGGTGGCGGTGGAAAAGAAAGTAGACCAGAGAGAATAGCAAGGAACAGTTACTAGCAAACATGAAGACCAGCTGTCGGGAAGCAGGAGACAAAGCCAAGCTGTAGAATCTGCACAGCAGAGAAGGCTGACGGGAGAACAGGCTTGCGCACTTTGAGTTTCAAAGGGATAGCTCGATCTCCCTGGTCAGATTTCTCCACCACCGGCCTTGGGGCTGCAAGTGTGGTGGAGGACTGGGGGGGCTCTTTGTCCGCTGTCTGTCAGGTCTCCCCCTGCTCGCCTGCTGGCGTTCTGCTGCCTTCCTTCTGCCTCCACTGTCTTTGGCTATTTAGAGCGCAGTGGATCTGCAGCACCCACAGTGGCCTTGGTGGCCGTCTGCCCCACTCTGCTGCTTGAAACATTGGCATTATATCCTCAGATGCTTTGTTTTGCCTTGTTGGGCCAGGATCAAGTTCTGAGATTGTTAACCATCAGTGGAGACCAGAGGGAGGAGCAGTGAGTAGAGTAGTCAGGGCTTTGTGTTACAGAATGTGGTAAGAGGCCTAAGTGCAAGCAGCATTTCATCTACTGCAGAGGAAGGCATTGGATTTATTTAGTTTGTTGCTGGCCATATTGAAAATAGTTTCATAAGAGTAATGGCCAAGATGTAGAATTTGACTGAATTGAAATAGGAGGACCGCCCAAAAGATGGAGTTAATGCTTTAAGATCAAGATCGGGAAGGGAAGGGAAGGGGGATAAATGTGAAAACGTGAGGCATAGAACAGCCTTTCGTACTCACTTCACGGGAGCTGTAGCCTGCCTCGTAGAGTGCTTAGCATTTCTTGTCCTCTTCTGACTCTTGTCCCCTTCTGATCCACTGTGCCATGCGGGGTCCTCCTCGCTGCTTCATGCCCCTTAGCAGAAGAGCAGTCAGGCCTTGTTGAGAGTGAAGCAAATGTGGGTCTTGGGGAGGCAGGAGGGGGAGATGTGTGAAAGATGGAGCTCATGAGAACAGCCTGAATTCTCTGGTTAGAGATGAAATCTTCCACAGAAAATGTAGGAAGGAAATTGGTTGCTTAAGATTGAAGGAGTTGGAGGCACTACAGAAACTGATGATGCCATTTGAAGTTAAGGTGGCGTTTTATAGTGAGCAAGGTCAGATTGTTGCCATGTTTTTTTCTCCAAGGTGTTGGGTCTTGCTTGGTTGTATGTGGACAGCTCAGTGTAACTCTGGTGGGAATTTTTTCTGTAAGTTTTGTATCCCTTTCTAATTATGAACATCATAATGGCTACACGACATGTTCTTTCATTGAATTTGTGCCTTGGTTTATAATTGACAGTCTGCTAATCTGGTGCACTGAAGGTGGTAGAGATGGTAGGAGGACAAACCCAGACTAATCCCAGGGTATGATTTGTAGACATTTCCAAGTTCGGAATATGTTTTCCTACCATTTGTTACTTTATTATTGTTCCTAAAGATGGCCATGTAATGAATAAAGAATTTCTTCCGAATTTCCGCAGCCCTCCCCTCCACCCCTGACTCCAGCCTAGTCACGCTGTGTGCTTTGTTTCTCTCGATCCGCCCCACACAGCCTCGATGTTAGCAGTGGCACTGTGGAGATTGTAGACACTTCTGATTTCTACTTTTTAACTTTCAGGCTGAAGAACAGTTGAGAATTGTTGAAGAACAAAGAAAGATTCATGAGGAAAGGATGAAACTAGAGCAAGAACGGCAACGGCAGCAAAAAGAAGAACAAAAAATTATCCTGGGCAAGGGAAAGTCCAGACCAAAACTGTCCTTCACATTAAAATCCCAGGATTAAATTGCAAACTCTGAACTTTTTACAAAGAAAAAATGGAAGAACTTTGTATGGTAGCTTCATGTTGAAGTGTTTCTTTTTGTTTTATTTTTTTTAAATTTGGAAAATCTGGAAAGTTAGCTTGTGCTAATAGGGGCTATGCTCTGCAATCCCTTTTATCCCCCTAATTTCCATTGTCAAATCCTTATCAGATCATTGCTGTCTTCTAAAGAAAGTGGTGCATTTTCCAGCTGTGGGTTCTGTGCTGTGGTCTGCAGAAGAGATCACTGTGCACTGAGATGGTCTGATAAGGTTTTTACTGACCCGCTCCACTGACCTCAGAGTTACACTCTGTGTAAACATCACGATGCTGGTTCTGCTGACTTTTTGTTTTTTTATATATTTATAAAAAAATAAAAAGTTGGCCCTTGTACTGGAGAATTCCCGGTTGTTACTGACCTGTGTGGTGCGCTGGTAGCTAACCCGTGTCCGTGTGGCACTGCTCTCGGTGATCCCGATTCAGGTAAGGAGACGGCCGGTCAGCTTGTATGGCACGCACGCACACTCGCGTGCACAGCTCAGTGCACTCTCTGTTCAGCTTGTTCCTATTCCATTGACAGAAACAGTCCAGCATTCCCCACTGTGTAAATAAATGATTTTGCTGAATAAAGTAAAAGTCTTAAATTCATATGTTTAAGCAATTTTCTTTAAGGTTCTGTTAAGTCTTAAGAGGGTGGTTTCCTTTTTGATGGTCAACAGTTTAGAGTTCCATACTTCCTCCCATTTATACTTTTAACATAGAGCTTTTATGTACCTGAAGTATACTTGTGAACTAGTGTTTAAGACTCTTTTTACAAATACTTTATGGCAATAGAGCAGTTATAGCATCAAGTGTTATTAACTTTACGAAAGATTAGCGCCACCTAGAAAGAGATTTAAATTCTTTAACCCAGGCCTCTGTTTTAGGAAGTAAGTACCACCACAGATGATATCTAGAAACTAAATAAATGCATTTGAGATTTTCTGGAATATTAGACTGTTTTCAGAGGGCCATCAGAGAGAATCGGCCTTGGACATTCAGAAAACGTGAAGGTGGTCCAGTTGTGCATGCATGTTGATTTTTGGGACAAGCACATTTAAATACAAGTGTTTTTTTTTTTCTTGCTTTTTTTTTTTTTTTTTTTTTTTTTTTTTTTTTTTTTTTTTTTTTTTTTGGCATGTAAAATCTCTTGGATGACTGATCTGTTTTACACACTAGACCCTGCCTCATCCTTACACATTGCTGTCTGCTGGTATGAACATTCAGGAAAAGGATCGGGTGGAGTATGCCTCCTGGGGTGCAGAGACCTGTCATGGGGGAAGTGTGTTTCCCAGATCTGAGATAGTTGGATCACTCTTTAAAACTGAAAACATTTCAGCTAACAAGATGACTAAAGGGTGGATTATTTTGTGCGTGCGTGCTAAGAAAAATGTTACTTCTTTCATTTGAGCTCTTTGATGAGTAATTGTGAGGAACAATAAAATCAATTTAAATATCTTTAAAGATCGTTTTAAGTAGGCATGAACTGTAGTGAGAACGTTTAGTAAACAATACCTTTACTCTGAAATCAGACATCAAGTTTATTTCCCTAAAGAATAGACTATCGATCTTTTTCTCTGAATACAGATTAGCTCTATTTCATGAGTCTTAAAACTTTATTTTTCTTAATGTAACTTTTTTTTTCAATGCAGATTCCTTGTTCCTAAGTTGTGTTTTGGAGTTTCTGGAAATGTTCACTTAAAATTGTTTTTGCTCTACTAGTGTTCTTAACATTGTATCTAAAGAGAGTAGCCCGGACTAAAAATATTTGAAACCAGCTTTTGCGTGCCTTTTCATTTTTTTCATGGATGTGAAGCCACCTGCGGTGGGATGACAGCAAGCTGCCTGCTTTTGACCGCTGTGGTGCGGCTGGTGACTCAGGACACAGGGAGCTCTCCTGGGTGGGGGTGGGGGGTGGGACGACTACCTGCTGCGAGAGGATGTGGCTGTCAGCTGCAGAGCCAGTGTTTTCTGTGCCCCAACAGTGTAGTGATTTGTTTCCACTGCCTTTGTGTACATATTCTAAAAGTTGATTTTTTCCCAGTCTTCTAGTTGATGTTCCCTCATTCATTAAATATGCCTTTATTCAAGATTGCTTTCTCAGGCTATTCTTAATGCATTATAGAATTAATGACTTTTTATCACAGTATTGATAATAATGTAGTTACTGCCGTCTATATTGTGAAGTTTGCATTTGTATAAAACTAAACTTTTAAATTAGCTTGGTGTGAGGACTCTAATGCTTCAAAAGAGGCTTATAGTTTTAGCTGTACTACTTTATTTGTTTTTTTTTTTTTTAAGCCAGGGTAGTTTGGGCTGACCTTGAACTCTGGCGATCCTCCTGCCTCAGCCTCCCAGTCGGTTCCCCTTAAGATTGCAGCTCAATCTAGGCGTATATTTGTGCTAGAATGTGTCCGCAGCTTTTAATTGCCACCTTCTCTAATAAAACTACCTTAAGACGTCTGGTTTTGTATTTCTTAATATTTTTCTGAATATGAAATGCTGGTTCATTCAACTTAACTTCTGGTGCTGCATTTTACACTAAGGGTACTTGGGTTGTTACCTAGCTGTAATTTCTCCAAACTTTCCTTACCTAGAGCTTTGAGTCTTTCCCGTTTGCTGTACCCACAGCCTACCAGCCTTCAGCTTTGCCAACTGGCCAGGAGAGAAGGCCAGAGGCGAGCTTCTCCACACCCGGCAGGGAGAGCCAGCCCCTGGACACCCAGTGGCACTGCCTGGGGCAGGCAGGGGTGTTGGAGCCCAGGTGGTGGCCCCTCCTCTCTTTCTGCTTGTCACGTGATGTTTCTGTGATGCAGCACCTGGCAGAGAGGCTGGCGTGCTGCAGCCATTCTGTAGCCAGGTGGCCTTGCTTGAGGCGGTCAGTCTGTCCTCTGTCCGTGCAGTGTGGGTTATTAAATAATTGGGGCTGGGAATAGTGGAAGGGTCTAGAGATGGCGATGGCTCAGGGAATTCGAGGAGTGTTTGCAAACCTCCCACCTGCCCACACAGTGACCTCAGGATGTCTTTCCACCTGTTGTGCCCTGTGGGTTGGGGCTGTGTCCTTTCACACGTAGATTGGCCGGGTATTACAAATGAAACATCTCATTGGAAGTTGGATTTGAAAAGATCTGGGCTTTTGAGCCTCTGCTGGTTGATCAGATGATGTGTGAATGTATCTTTTACTACATTTTTTAACTCAAGCCAGCAGAGTAGTTTTCAGCAGTCCAGCCGTTTGGCCCACAGCCAAGGTGTGTGTGTGCGCATGCATGTGTGTGCACGTGTGTGTTTACAGTAGCGTGAATATCTTCTGGATTGGTACGACCCATGAGTAAGCTAGTCACTAGGGTCAGAACACAGCGATCCGTGTGTACGTTTGGAGCATGCTTCTCTGCGCTCACCGTGTGTGATGGTGAAATGAGGGGTGAGGTGGGGTCCTGGGGTAAGGGCCCAGAATAGGACCCCCAGTGGCTGCTCAGTAACTGCCTTAGGTTGTGGACGGTGGCTGTTAGCCTTCTGTTTCCACATAGCCTGTGTGCACATAGCGCCCAGACCTTGCTGAGAGAGCTAAGTGACGGCTGAAGCGGTGCGCAGCTGTAACAACTACCCATGACCTACCTGCCGCCCTGGGCAGTGGAGCTTGGCTGCCTCTCCCACCCCCTCTGTTTTCACATCAGAAGAGGGGCTTTGTGCCAGGTGCTCAGGCTAAATGGAGCCCTCGCTGTGTTCTTTCGGCTATGCTGTTTTTGCCTTAATAATGCTTTGAAAGAAAAGAGGTGGTTTACCTAGAGACTTGGGGGACATTTAATGGGAAGTCAGCTGTTTTGCTTCCATAATGCGGGTATTCTTAGTCTGAAAGATGGGAGTTGTCCCCAAGCTTCCCAGGTGAAAAGGGGTCTTCTTAAAGACTGATGTACTTTTCTTGCCTGGTAGAAGTAGTAGGCGCTAACTTCAGGTGCTCTGGTGTCTTAAGTGATCTGGATTTCAGAGGCAGGCGGATGGGAGAGTTGCTTAGCAAAACTGATTTTTAAGAATTTCTTCCTGTTCAGAACCATCTTCCTTTTGGGTAAACTGGGTGAAATGATCCCCACAGACTTCCCAAAACTTCATTGATTTGCAAGAGACATTTAAAGGAAACAAGGTACAATTTCAGGATATGCTTACGGCTGCATAAAAAATGAGTGGCTTAGACAAAATCAGTGCGTCACAGCAAGTTTTCAGTGGTGTTACATTTGGATCAGGTGTACATTTACAGAAGTTCTGTGTGTTCACGGAATACTGTACAAGGAATATATAACGTTCTTCTAAAGACTCAAACATCAGGCATTCAAAGGAACAGAAATAGATTATTTAATACCATGTATTTTCTTGGGGGAAAGTGAGTGCCATCTTTCTGTTTAACCAGAATTATCCAGCTTTTGTATTTGCTGCCTTATTGTACATTTATTCAGCTAACAAAACTGATTGTCCTGGAATCGCAACATCTTTAACTAGTTTAACCTTAGAAACTTCTCAGCCTCAGAAACAGCAGTGTGGCCTCTGCTGAAATCCTGTCTTGGGTGTGGGGCAAGCACTCCTGGGTGCTCGGCATCTCAGAAGACTGCGAAAATTGCTGCCTTTTACTTTGACTATTCTAAATCTATCTGCTAGAGTGAACTGGTAAAAGTTACATAAGTAGGAATCTGTGTGCAGAATTAGTTGTGAAATACACACTTTAAAAGAAAAAAAAAGGAAGCGATTTTTAAACACATTTTTCCAAGGTAAAATGCTTTGGGTTTACTGAAAGTGGTATTTTTGGAAACTCGGTTATTTCCAGACAATGCAAATTTCCTTGATTTCCTGAGGGGATGTAGGGAGCTAAGAGGTTACAGCTCCTTTGCTACCTATAAAATGTGCTGAGCTATGGGAGGCGCCGGGTCAGTAGCTCACTTCACTTCGGTGTCCGTGAATTCCTTCAGTGATTTCTTTAAGCATATTCAGAGGAGTCCTTTGGAACCGCAGCCCTTGCCCCTTCCTGGTTTTTCAGTCTTGGGACTTTGCCACTGAGTTCAGATCATACCACCTTTGAGTCTTAAAAAATTAATTCAATTTGAAAGCTTATTTACAACTAAATTACAAAAAGGCTTTCTCGATTAAAGATCTGATTGGAAAAATATGAATGCATTCCATTTTGCATGCCTCAGTGTGCTTTTGACCTCAGTACTTACAAACTTGGAACACTGGCTGAAATACACATTTACTGCGGTAGCGTTTCAAAAACAACTACTGAGAAGCAAGCACCTACGGGAGGCTGAGGCAGGGTGGTGCCAAGTTCAAGCCCAGCCAGGGCAGTAGAGCAAGGCCGGCTCAAAAAATGGGGAGGGGGTTGTGGTTCTCGCGAAGGCCCTGGGTTCATTGCCCAGCTCAGGAATATAATTTTTTTTTTAAAGGCAAGACACCTTGAAAAAAATCC